CTACAATTATTCGTTATTTCTAATAGTTAAACTATATAGAGAGCCTTAATTAGTATCAATAAGCATTATGTTAAGAAAATTATACAACCAGATGCCAGCGGCTGATGATCTTCCTCCCAATGGCGGAGTATCGTGATGGCATATACATAGCGGAAGGGATTGTACAGTGAGCGTACAACTGAGTTGATGGTGGATTTCTGGGGACGGCCAGCTGGACTAGACGGACAAGGGAAAGGGGTTCGGGCACGGGCGGGCTGTGAGACCATGCGCAGGTCCTACCTAAGTGGCCTTTGGACCCAGAAAAGGGACAAGAACAAGCGTCGCCCCATGCCCCATTAAAGAAGCGAATGGGGTACTGGTGAGGCACAGGGATGAGCACATGGTTGAGGTTTTTTTTTTCCAATTTGGGAGGAAAGTCATAATAACATGTCTTGGTGGGAAAGGGTGGGAACATCTTCCCTATATGTCTATATCCCTCCCTTTCCTTTCTTTTCCTCAAACAAAAATTGTTGTGGCTCTTTTATTTCTTCTTCTCTCCCTTGTCCCCTCCCCCAACAAAAACATACATATTTTGGCTTAAGCGATGGAGAAGAGGGAGGAGGAAATTGAGAAACATTTCTTTATTTGATTAATAGGAGAAATTAAAGAGGAGAAAAATGAGAAACTTTCATTTCTTCTATTATAATTAGTTAATTATTATCTATTCAAATAAGGAATGTTCTTTTTATCTCCTTCCCTCTCTGCTCTCCCTCTCTCTCATTTCTCCCAACATCACTAAGATAATAAATTAGGGGACATTTTAAGATGGTTAAAATATCCATTTGTTCCCTCAACTTTTAAATTTGTATCAAAATTATCTCTCAAGTTCAAAAAATACCAAAATTATCCTTAAACTTTAATTTTTGATACCAAAATAATCTTCAAACTCTAATTTTTGGTATCAAAATAGTCTTCAAATTTTAAAGATAATCCTAAATTAGTCTTTAAACTTTAAAAATAACTACCAACTTAGTTAGCTTTAATTACAAATACCAATTTGATTTTTTAACTTTGAATATATATCAATATGATATATAAATGAAAATATGTCACTATGATAAAATACGATTATTTGATTTTACATGTCATTAGTATTTTAAAAAAACTAATTTTGTGATAAAATAATAAGTTACATGGTATTTTTGTTCACCGAAGGATTTTTTTGGTATTGAAAATTAAAATTTAAGGATAATGTTAGTATTTTTTGAAGTTGAGAGATAATTTTGATATAAATCTGAAAGTTGGGGGACCAAATTGATATTTTAACCTTTTAAAATTTTAATAATGAGGTGAATCATGTAATTTTTAATTTGAATTGCCAATTACTGCTAATTCTGTAGTCAAATTATAACTCATTCAAGGAAACAATCTCACAAAAGGTCCATTATTTTTTGTGTCGGCAAGATTCTTTATAATTTTAGGCTTAATCAATTCACCAAGAAGCTGGAAATTTGCATAATTGCATTCGCTACCTAATTGAAGTTGACTTAACACCATCAAAATTTCCATTGTCCAGGGATATTGTCAAATGCTTAACTAATTAGTTGCTTCAGCTAGCGAATCTTAAGCCAATTCTTAAAATTAATCGGTACCCCTCTACTCTACATTGAAAATGAACCACACCGACACTAGCACCATCCGTTTTCCAAGTAATTACTCCGTAGATTTTTTATAATGAAATTTTAGGTAGTAGTAATATATTGGTTTTTTTTACTTAATAATATACATAAATTGATATATATTTACTCGTTTAATGTTATATGATTATGTTATAACATTTCGTTGTAAGAAAACATTTCATTGTAAGAAAACATTATATGTAAATTAATTTTATTATCTTACATAAGTGAAGTTGCATTTTTAAAATAACTCAGAAAATTATTGGTTTAAATGTGTATGTCAATTGGCTCAAGGCACCTTAGTCATCCAAAAAAATTTAAATACCGTTGGTTACCATAGCTGACATCATTGAAATTCCAAGCATATAAGAAAACTTTCTATAAGGAGTTAATGAGGCTCATATCAGTTAGTAAAGAATTTTGAGATTGACACTGCAAAATTATGAGTTTCCTAACTATAAATAGTGAACTTCCTTCCTTTTTTTTTTAATTTTAATTTTGTGCGCTATATTTAAGTAGTCAATTCTAAACTAAATGTATTTTTATTGCCTTTATATTTAAAGATTAGTACTTATTTGTCTTATTTTTTAAAGATTAAGAGAAAAATTATTCTAAAATTATATAATTTTAATAAAATATTACAAAAAATGACAAAAAATATTCTAATTCATACTTTACAAATAGGATATTAGAGTTTAATTTTTTAATGAAAGTTTATGAAAAAAACATAATTTTAAAATAATTTTTCTTCTAATATTTAAAAAATAAGGTGAATAGATGCTATTTTTTTATATTTATACTCTCCATTAAAAATCAAAATTATGTAAATAAATTATGCCTCAATGGACAATCATAATGTTATTTTGGAGTCTTTCTTCAGAAAACAACACTTCAGAATATTAAATTTATTATCGTTTTATATGGTGCGTCTCCCCCTCAAATTTTCAAATGAATACAATAACTCTAAATATCTGCATTTGTCACAAGGGCTAGCTGCTATGCAAAATATTATAATCAAGAAGAACAAAGTTGATTGATAACTAGGGAAGGACACGACCCAGGATGGTTGTGTTAATTATTGTCGAATATCATAGAAAAAAAAAAAAATCCCTTAACCACTCTTTGCGTTTCTATCTATTCCCTTTGAAACCTATTTTATTAAACAAATTTTAGTATTTTAAGGAGACTGCGGAGCACACGGATTGTTTGTGCAAACAAAACTGAATGATTTAAAACACAAAGCTTTGCCTATCCCTTCTTCGTAATTACATATGCTTATACACCAATATTGCTAGGCAAGACAAAGCCCGACTGATAAAATATGTCTTAATACCCTGCACACCAAGCAATATTGTTTAACTGATTAACTTATTATAGTGATATGGTACTAGGCTCACAATTACTGTCATTACATCATACAACACTCCAACAATCTGAACCGACTCTTTAAGTTTAATGGTTTGACCCCAAACCTTAAGTGTTTGGGTAAGGTAGTCGAAGTTTCGAACTCCACCACCATCGTGAACTCCACTAAAAAGTGACTTAATGATCGCGCGCCTCATTTGAGGGAGTGAAATGTTCACCCGATCTGAGGATTTGTTGTTAACAATTAACTCATACTAACTTATTAATCATTACCCTTATAAATAAAAAATAATAAAAAAAAAGAACACTCCAACAATCCTAATTGACTAATTCCTGTCAATTCGATGGAACCGACTCTTAGTTGGCCTAAAAGTGTTTATTGGTCTTGATCTTGAATTTGATTGAGTTAGACCAACCTAGTGGCCACCCCTATCTAACAGTAACAAGACCATTCGTGCATGCCTAATTTATGGCACTAGCTATTACATATGTGATATGGAAATTTTGCTTCAATTTGTTACAATATGCTTGATTTGTGCAATTTACTCCAGTATTGTTTCTATATTCTACCTGTTTGTTTTTCAACTTTTGGTTGGTCCTTACCTTTCAAAGCAAGAATCCACAGCCAGCTATGTGGTTTTATTTTTTAGGCTTAAAAATAAGAACAAGCTAATTCAATCATTAAAAACCCCAAGTTTGTCTTTTCAGTCAGTCTCAGAGTCCCTTTCAAAATTCATTTTTAGAAATTGACAAAATCCAATTGACACATATATCATAACAAAATCAAATGAATTCATCTGCACTCAGACCAACCTTCTCCTACAAAAGAATGCATAAAAGCTTGATTGCCGTCGGTTGTTCAAAGTCGTGTGCTACGGCATAATATTTAAGCAGTTTAGAACCATAAATAATTGGATTCTTTTCATTTCATGAGATAATCCTCACTGGGGAAGAAAGAGTGCTTTTATTGCAGAAACTGTTGCTTTAAAAGATGTATGATGCTATACTTGCAAGGAGTTTCAGTCGATATGAGCAGAAGAAGTTGGGATATGGAGCATTGTTGGGTTCTCTATTCATTGCATTCAGTTTCTGCCTCTTCTTTAAGCCTAATTTCGCTTCTTTACCAGCTTGTAAGTGATCAATCCTTTCCCTTTCTCCAAATTGTTCTGCTGTTGGTGATGGTCGATTCGAACTTGTTTGCAGTCCTAGTTTGAACTAGTAGAATTTAGCTTCAATACATGTCTTGACCAGCCAGGGTTTGTTTCAATTTGCAGTCAATTTCCGGCTATCAGCAGGAGTCAATCTCAAAATGCTTAGCAGCTCACAGAGAGCTAAGGGTGAGTTTTGATCAAACCTTTTTTTTTCGAAACTCGAAATGTGAGTACAACTAGCATCGAGACTTGAATTTGAAACCTTATTATCCAGACATGAATCGTTTGTTGATATGTATTCTTAAATTTGATGCTAATTTTTAAATGTCCAGATACTGTTTGCAATACCATGGAGACGAGAACAGATGTGTGTGAAATCAACGGAGACATACGGATTGATTCACGTTCTGCTACTGTTTTCGTTGTGTCTCCCGGGCAAGAAGCTAAAAATAGCTCCTGGACCATAAGGCCTTATCCAAGGAAGGAAGACCCAAAGGCATTTAAGAGTGTTAGAGAATGGACAGTAAAATCCGTGGCCACAACTGACGAGGTCTCAGATATTCCTCAATGCAATCAATCTCATAGTGCTCCTGCCATCCTTTTCTCTGCCGGAGGGTACTCTGGTAACAACTTTCATGACTTCACGGACATTGTCATTCCATTGTACTTAACGGCCAGACAGTTTGATGGAGAAGTAAAGCTTCTTATAACCGACGCCGGACATTCATGGTGGATTGTGAAATTCCAGAAATTTCTAAAGAATCTGTCTAGGTAAGAGACTACTAGTTAGTTTTAAGTTAGTGCATACCAACTTGGCTAATAGCTAAAATTGGATTGGTATTCAGGTACGAGTTTATCAACATTGATAAAGACAATTCCGTCCATTGCTTCCGAAGTGTGATTGTGGGGCTTAAACGTCACCCTAGAGAGCTGATGATTGATCCTTCCAGATCACCATACTCCATGAAAGACTTCAGGATGTTTCTAAGAAGTTCATACTCTTTACCAAAAGCTGTAGCAATCAAGATGGGGCAGGACGACGAAAAACAGAGACCTCTGCTAGTCATCATTTCAAGAAAGAGGACAAGGTCTTTCATAAACACAGATGAGATAGTCAGGACAGCTGAGGAAGTTGGATTCGAGGTAATGGTGACGGAGCCAGACACCAGCATGTCTCAGTTTGCAGAGATTGTGAATTCTTGTGACGTGTTGATGGGAGTCCATGGGGCTGGCCTGACCAACATGCTGTTTCTGCCAGAGAATGCGGTGTTGATTCAGGTGGTGCCGATCGGAGCAGCATGGGTGTCCAAAACTTGCTTTGAAGATCCTTCGAAGGACATGAATATAAGGTACTTGGAGTACAAGATTGAAGCAGAAGAGAGCAGTTTGATTCAGCAATTTCCAGCAGGGCATGAGGTTTTTAGCAACCCTTCATCCATTGGGAAACAGGGGTGGGATCTATTCAGGTCTGTTTATTTGGACAAACAAAATGTTAAAGTTGATGTGAACAGGTTTAGACCCACTTTATTGAAAGCTCTTGAGCTTTTGCACTAGTAGCTACACTTTCATATCATGTAGGGACTTTGTTAGCTTTACTCCCTTCCATTTTGCAAGAAATTGGTCAAATTTTTTTTCATAAATCATGTATTCAATTGTGTTAACAGCTCTGTATACCACCTTATGGATGAATATAAGGTTACTTGTTATTATAAAAAAGGAAAAAGAAGGTTGCTTGTTGACTTCTGTCCCAGAATTCCGACAACATAAATTTTGGTGGCATATTTGCTTATCTACTTTCATTGATTTTGTGAATTATATATACAAGTCTAAGGGTACACACTACACACAGCCTGCACGAGTGAAAGGGTTGACACGTAATTATACAGCAAACTATCTCACTCCACCATTTTTTTTTTTTGGTTTATTTTGTATTTAATAGTCAAAATATTTTTAGGTTAATTTATATATATTTTGAGACTAATTTCTCTCTAATTTAATAAAAAAAAATTATGCATGCCATTATTAGGATTAAAAAATTACAAAAAATTTTCTCTTCGTTACTTCTCTAAAGAATTAAATTTTAGTTAATAAAGCGGACAAAGCTCCATCCATTGCACCAACAGGCAACAACCATAGGAAGGCAGCTTTGGAAGTTAATGCCATCTTGTACTGGTTTCTACGGTCAATACATACTGACTTTTCAATTAATCTGAAATGATATAAGTTTAAATTTTGTTTTGGTCCATTTTTGGTGTACTGAACAATATTTTGCATATCAATTAATACACCAAAATTCAACTGGTACAAACATGTTCAAATTAAAAAAAGAAAAGAATTCCAAGCAAAACAACATTGTTTTGGCTAGGAGCTTAAATAACAAAAACCCTTACAATTTCAGATTTCCAGTTCTCCTTCCTCAATGCTCACCGGTGGATGCTGCTGTTGCTCTCTTCCAAGTTCCAACTATATTTCTTCCGCTTTCTAAGCAACAACATACCTATATCTCTGTTTCAAAGCATATTGTATGATATTAAATTTAGAACACTGTTATATTTCATAATATTGTATTAATATTTAAAAAAAATTATGGATATTATATAAAATTAATTATTTTAAACTTATTTTCAATTTATAAGAATATGATAGTTTCAAATATTAATTTCTCTTATAATTATTTTAAAATTTGATGTTTAATTTATAAAAATATATATTTATAGCAATAAATCTAAAATAATATACAAAAAATTTTGATATCTAATATATCATATTTCAAAAGTAAAATCAATATGTATGTTGATATGGTATTAAATCCTTTGGAATTAACGTATGCCTGGCCCCTGGAAAGAAGGAACAGAACCACAGTTTATATGGGTCAGGCACTGGCCCATTCTTGGATGGAGAAACAAACACGGCCCACCTTAAATTTAATGCTTGATAGCCCTATCGCTCTACCACCTTAAACACAGCCTACAGTTTTTGTTAATTTTTAAAAGTATGGTGTTATAGGGATAATTTTTTTATATTATTTTTTGATATATTTTTTACATGTTATTAAATAAATAGATGCATTCAATATCATGAGTCTCATGTGAATAAAAACAATTAATTATTTAACTGACACATCAAGTTATAACAAAAAAATGATACAAAAAATTATCCTAAAATTATTTTCTTTTTTAAAATTCTAAAAATTATAAAGTATTGATTTTTTTTTTTTATGTTGAATTTTTATATGTATGAATAATTTAGATCATACTTTCAAAGTTTACTATTTATCCATGCATTGACACGGTGATAGATATGTAAATTTCTTCCATTTTCATGGTACGTTGTAGCAAGATTATTATTATTATTATTATTTTTATTTTTTTTTGCATCTAAAGTTAGATATCAGAGTATGGATTTTAATTATATAACAAGAGTATGGCAAGATTTATTTATATTTTTATAAAATCTGAAACTCCTTAAACTTCTTATATAACTCCTCAACATTTAATTAAAATTTATAGATTTTTTTTTTCTTTTTTACAATTTGATCCTCGTGTGTCAAGGACCAGTAATAGTAGCAACAAAGTAGGTAAAATAAGGTGTATTTTCCCCTGAAAAGACAAATAGGAGACGATAATGTCTGGGTGGGTGATGATAATACATGCCTCCTTAGAGGTCTCATAAGATATGACAAAAATGGCACGTCAAATTTCATATCTTTTATTTTGAGCCATTTTACTGTTCAGTCACGGTGTCAACAAAGTTCAAGTCGATATATTAAATCCAATTCTATGAGGGTGTGGTTATTCCTATTATAGGAATTGCTGGGATATTAATTTTTATTTTTTAAATGGTATTTAAAAATATTAATTTATTAATTAATTTTAATTTATTAATTAATAAATTATTATTATATTAATTTTTAATTATTTTTATTTATCAAATTAAATAAAAATAATATTTTTAAAATAAAAAAGTGTTTATCAATTTCAATTTAAAAAATTAAAGTTTTAATCTCAAATTATATTATTTTATTTAATTAAAATTTAATTTAAAATTTAAAAAATTATTTTATTAAATGTTAATATATTAAAATATATAATAAATTGTTAAATTTAGATTTCAACATTTAATAAAATAAGATTTCTTCATATATAAATTAAAATTTTAATTATTTTTAGAATAAAAACTAATAAATATTAATTTGTTTAAAAAAATAGCATTTTATATTTTATTTTATAACCTTATCGTTTTAGTTGGTGTCCTCGAAACTACCCATTCAATGAACTGAGACTTGCATCCTAACTCCAAAGGAGACAATGACACAATAAAACCTCTTTCTAAAGAATAATACAACGAAATCAAAATCAAATCGCAGCTTCAAAATAATTGAAGACTTATATTGAGATAATAAATCTACAAAAGGCAATTATATGATATAAATATATAAATTGAGCTTCTTGTGAATTATTTAACTTAGAGTTTAAATTAAACTTGAGTTTAACCTTAATATTAAGTTCAAAAATGTTTTCAAGTTAGAACTTGAGGAAACCAAAGATTTGTGAGCTACTCAAGCTCAAATTCAATAAACAAAATTAAATACATATTTAATGATATATATAATATAATTAGTATCACGAGTTATTTAACTTTATAAGTTAAGTTCATTTTTACTTGGATATTTTTAAATTTAATTATTTAGGCTCAAACTTATTATTATGGATTTGAGTTAAAACTCTAGAACTAAACTATTTGACTTGACTCAGTTTGGCTTGTTTACAACCCTAATGTTATATTTTTATGAAAAAAAAAAAAATTAAGGATCAAAGAAAGTTGAGGATCGAAGTTTGCATTTTTGACTAAGAAAAGATAATTTATGCGTTAACTAAAGACATGTAACTTAAATTAGTACGTTAATTAGTTTAGCAAGCAGGTCAATCAGCAATGCGAAGAATTTGTCTCGTTAACAAATGATTATCAATCCCCTTTTTCCTTTTCTCCTAAGTCATGCCGTATACAGAAACCATACCGAGGAAGATTTTCGCCGAAATTTTGAGAATGAAGACGTAAAAGTCTAAAGAGTACGTTTTGCTCGTTGAGATTATACTAAATTATACTTATTTTATTTTAAAACAATTAGTTTTTTATTTTTTAAAGTAGATAAATTTTTTTATTTTAATCTTATTATTATATATTTATTTTAATTAATTATTTTATCATAAATAATTTATCTTTATCTTTTTTTAAAAATATTATAAATAAATAAATACTTTATTTTTGAAATTTTAATTTAAAGAAAAAAATAAAAAATAATTGTTTTAAAACTAAAAAATTAAAATAAAAATCATTAAAAGAAATAACTTTAATATAATACAATATGATATAATCTAAACCAAAAAATATTTTTGAAATCCAAAAAATATTAGTCTTGTTGAGAGAAAGAGATTTAAATGCAATACCTAAAATTAGGTATATACTTTTACAAAAATTTATAGCAAATTGCGTTCTGGGTGACAAAAGAAACAAACTAAAGTGTAGAGAACTTAAAAATCTTTAAAAGCAAGTCGGTAAGGTTAGGTTCATTCCCACTTTAATGCTTTAATTTCACCCCTTTATCAGCCTAGCTAACAACAAACCCGACGTGATCCAAAATAAAGTCACCCCCACATATAGCCAACCTCCCCACTGCCCCCTTGCTTTCACCTCCATCTCCTCCCACCGCCACCCAAAAATGGCTACATCCCCCTTACTCCTCCTCACCCTCCTCCTCTCTGCTCAACTCTTCACCTCCACTCTCTCACGTACCTTACCAGAAACCACCACAATGGAACTCGACATCTCCTCCGCTCTCCAACAAGCCCAACATATCCTATCCTTCGATCCTGAAGTCGTAAACCCCTTTACACAACAGCAAGAGGCAGAGAACCCATCTTCTTCATTCTCCCTTCAGCTTCACCACCGCGACTCCTTGCATAAGACCCAACACAAGGACTACAAAAGTCTAGTCCTTTCTCGGCTCGCTCGGGACTCCGCCAGAGTGGATGCCCTCACCACCAGGATCCGCCTCGCCCTTGATAATGTTACCGGATCGGAGCTCCAACCTATCCCCACCGAGATCCAACCTGAGGAATTATCCACTCCCGTGGTTTCCGGAACAAGCCAGGGCAGCGGGGAGTACTTCTCCCGTGTCGGAGTCGGCAGCCCGACTAAACAGTTCTACATGGTTCTAGACACCGGAAGTGATATTAACTGGATCCAATGCGAGCCCTGCTCCGACTGCTACCAACAGTCCGACCCGATATTCAACCCGAGTGCATCTTCCACGTACAGCCCGCTCTCGTGCCAGTCCCAGCAGTGTGGGTCTCTCGACGTGTCTCAATGCCGCAGCGGGAGGTGTCTCTACCAAGTGTCGTACGGAGACGGATCTTACACCGTCGGCGATTTCGTGACGGAAACGGTTTCGTTTGGTAACTCCGGTGACATAAAGGGAATCGCGTTGGGTTGTGGACATGATAACGAAGGATTGTTCGTCGGAGCTGCCGGATTGCTTGGGCTCGGAGGTGGGTCGTTGTCCTTGACGAATCAGATTAAAGCGACATCATTTTCTTACTGCTTGGTAGACCGCGATTCAAGCGGGTCGTCAAGTTTGGATTTCAACTCGGCGCTACCCAGAGGGTCGGTGACGGCTCCCCTGTTGAAAAACCGAAAGGTCGACACGTTTTACTACGTGGGTCTCACCGGATTCAGCGTCGGCGGCCAGATGGTTCAAATCCCACCGTCACTATTCCAAATGGACGATTCAGGAAACGGCGGCATCATCGTCGATTGCGGAACCGCCATAACCCGGCTCCAGACACAAGCGTACAACTCATTACGCGACGCCTTCGTGAAGCTGACTCAGCACCTGCCGTCAACTAACGGGGTGGCGCTATTCGACACCTGCTACGATCTCTCTTCAAAGACCAGCGTGACCGTACCCACAGTCGCTTTCCACTTCTCCGGTGGACAGTCCCTAGGTTTACCAGCAAAGAACTACCTTATCCCGGTGGACTCCGCCGGCACGTTCTGCTTCGCGTTCGCGCCGACGTCCTCAGCACTGTCAATCATCGGGAACGTCCAACAGCAAGGGACACGTGTCACCTTCGACGTGGCCAATAATCGAATAGGATTCTCTCCTAGAAATTGCTAGGAAAAATCTCAAAATTTGGTGAATTACCCTTTTATCCCTGATAAGCAAGGTTAATTTCAATCTAGACCATAGTGTTATTATTATTATTATTTATTAGGGTGATTTGAGAAATTGAAAAATGACAGGTGAGGTGGGTCCAAGGTGGAAGGGAGAAATTGGTCCACTTCTAAATAAACGGTGAAGAAGCCTTGTAGTATTAAGTAGAGAGTGAGATTTGCAGTATTTTGTTTTTTTGTGTGGGAAGACAGGTTAGTGGGTGTATAGTAATTTAAGTTCAAAGTTGAGGGGGCAAAGTAAAGCCAGACTTGTTGAACTGAACTGTTACGTAACTAAAGTTGAGTTTGTTTGTTAACGAAGGATGAAATGACATCCCCAAAGTTTTTTAAAGTTTTAATTGAGAATCAAAAGGCTTGCATGTGTGACATGTGGAATGATCATATGCTAACTGTTAACACATCATTTCAGCAAAAAGGCAAAAGAAAAAAATTCATGTATTCTATTTATATCAAATCAGATAATAAGATATATAATTAAAAATAGTCATAGTCCTCTTTTTCTTTTAGTATCTTTTCATCCGTTCTAAGGTTGAAAAGTGAGTATTAACTGTTTGAGATACCCTTGGGGGTAAAAGTCTTTTGCATATGAATGATAAAAAAAAAGAAAAAAAAAGCGATTTATAGTTTAAATTGTATAAATTAAATAATTTTATTGAGAAGTGGGCTCTTTAATTTTTAATAATTGTTAGCTTATAATGTATAATTTAAATTATAAAATAAAATATTTATAGTGATAGGTTTTTTTTTTGTCATTCGTAATTTTCATCTATTATCTCGTTTTTTTTGGCATTGTTTACTACTCATTTAATTAAAATTTGTTTAATAAAATCTTTATATGATATTTTAAAACATTACTTAAAAAGTTTATTATTTTATAATTCAAATCATATTCAACTGTAAAATAAGAATTGGTTGATAAAAAGGAATTTTTAATATTAAGGTACCAATT